TTTTTTCCAGGTGTATATAATACTAACATTTGAATTATAACCCACAATTTGATATCAAACTTATTGACATAAATTCATAAAATAGCAGTTCAAAAAATTTTGAATGTAAGTCAACAGTCACGATGACATGGTTAAGGTTAGATTAGGTGAAATAAATAATAATAGTAATACATTTTTTTCATGAGGTACACTCATGAGTAGCTTGTGCATAATGCAATTCGATAGCATAACATGAGTTGTACATTCACCAAGTGATTTACAAGTTGTAATGGCATGAATAGTAGTTAGAAAGGGTACAAAGGGCAATAAAACAATAAAATTTAAGTACAAATAGATGTATACTGTTATGAGTTTAAAGTTATTTAAGATAAATAAATTTAGTTTCATATTACAATTTGAAGTCATTCTAGAAAGAAAATAAGGGTAATTCAGATTTATTTCGTTTTTTTTTGGTGGTTACAAGGTTGGTCAAATTGACCAACGTTGTATAGAGTTAGGGTAGAGAAAATAACAGATAAAATATAAAGTTTTACTAAAAAAGTTTGAAATTTAATCAGAATTTATTTATTTATTACACAAATAAAAAGTGAGATTTTTTATATGAAAAAAAGTGTTTTTAATCTTTACGTGGAAATCACTTAGCACTTGGACTAGTATATAAAAATACTCAATATATTCACGGGAAAATCATTAGTAAACATACTTCATTACAAAATCTGATCTTTTTGTGTACAAAAGACTTGTAATGTTTACTAAAGGTATGCCAAATTTTGTGAAGATACACAAAGTGTATTAAAAGTTATATTATGGAAACTATAACGAGTACAAAATGGTTATGAGGTCGGTCGATTTGACAGTACAGAGAAAACGTTTTGTTCTTACCCTCCGATAACTTGTTATCATCCACCTTTAGAGAAGACAGTTCAGAAGACACCTGATAAAGAATAAAGCTGATGAGAATATTAAATAGGTTAAGAAAGATATAACTTTAATATAGCCTGATCATTATTTCAAAGTCACCCATACAAAATTACATTTTTAAATAAATAAATATCTTGCTGCTGTTAATAGTTTCAGTCTGTAAAACTGCACATAGCTACAGCAATTGACTGCTTGCTTTGATCAAAACACTTTACTAGGCCTAATATGAGGTAACAATTACTTTTTTTATTTTGATATTATAGATCTTATAGTCCCTACTCTTCTCAGTAAGAATTTGGCTTCTTCCTTCCTGTTCTGATAGTAGGCAACAATACCCTGCAGAAGATGCAATCTTGTAAACAATGATGACTCATTTCCAGAACTACCCTAAAAATAGAAACATGAAAAATTTTATAAACTATGTAGTGAACTTGAGAAATATAGTAAAAAAAGTTTTAACAACTACATAAGATATGTAAATACTTCTTTTATGTTGAAATAAATTAAAACTGTGTATGTATCATCCATTGGTCAGCTTTGACCCAGCTTAGTAAGTGAATAACAAGTTATTATCAAACCAAAGTGCAACTAACCCATCAGACCCACGCACTTTTTCATTCCAACTTACTCCCATCTAGCTTTGGGGTCAGCCACTCAAGTGTTTCTTATCAGCCAAGAAGTTATACACTCGGATTACTGTCGGTGACGGGGAATCGAACCTGCAACCCTCAGATTGCAAATTAAGTGCCCTAACCACCAAGATGCATCAAATCTACATTATACAATATAATTGGCATCGAAATGAACAAATAATGTGCTGAAAACCTTTTAACAAAAGCAATAAGTTTACTTACATAGTTGGGTAAGCAACTCACAAAAGGACGTGATATTAATAATCAAATTAGCAAAGTTTTCATGTTTTTCATATCGGAGAAAAAGAATATCTAAAACTTCTGTAATAGAATTCATACTAATCATGACTACAAACCTTTATGGCTTCAACTCTTTCAAGGTTTGATCCATAACTTTGGTGAAAACAATCCTCACACGTTTTCAAACGACTCTCTATTCCAAACCAAAATCAAAAGTGAATAAGCACTTTAATTATCATTGGACTAATTTATGTAAAAAAAGAGTGAAAGTTTATACAGAAACAACTGATGTACTTCTTTCTACATTAACTTACAAAATTTATATTCATTTTATCATAAAAATTAATATGGTATATCTAATTTTTAACCTTATTAGATTAGAACTGGTTTTCTAACACTGCAAGTTTCAAATTTTATTCAAATGTAGGCCTAATATACTACAAAACACCTTGCAACACACTTACATACATTTATAACATAAAATATATTAAGTTCATGTTAAGTAACAAAACCAACAGCTGAAAACATCATCAAAGTAAACACAAAATCTAGATAAGTTGGATCAATACAAATGGGTTGAAATATAATTTGTGTTCTTTAAAATTCTAATAAACTTACAAATTCTTGTAGATTATAATAATTCACCATGGTGTGAAAATAACATGCCCAGTTCCAAATGCTCTCAAAAACTACATATAAATATTTACAAGGAAGTGCCATAACTGGCACAAACATTGTCATTTCTGGCCAATATAAAGAGAGCTGCTGTATTGTGAATATAAACTAATATTTTGTATTTTCATACCACGAACTTATCATTATCCAGGCCGAAACCATTGTAAAGACAGGGTTCTTTATTAATCTGAAGGTCATTTGGCTGATTTCTATGAAGTTATTGAACAAATCATTGTCCAACTAGGATTCAATTTCACACTGAGCACAGACAAAAAGTTAATATAATTTACAGGCCAGTCCTGAATTACATAGCCTAACCTCAACCAATACTAGTTATAAAAGTCATGTCAGGCCTATAAAGATTGAAAAAAATATTCATTTCTTGCTTATAAGTATGACTAATCAGCAGTTTATGTGTATCACTTACCAATCTAGCTATATCTCTACATGCACATGTATATATATTATTGTTATTACTTGCCTTATGCTGCATGTAGGCCTAGACCTAGACTAACATTAACAGCAATAAAACAACACAGTTGTCCTCCAATCAGAAGACCTAGATAAAGGTCCTAGAAATATTAATCAAGCCTTGGAAGTTGGAGATCTAAGCTATATACTACTTTAGGTTTAATATCATTGCTACAATGTAGCAATAATACTGTGCATTTCTATTTAAAAAGAAAAACTTGACAATAAATGGACACAAAATATGTTGGGGTGAATTTTGGCACCTAAAACATTTTGATAGCTGCCCAGATGGCACCTAAAAAACAAGAACTTAATTTAATGTCCTTTACACAATTTTTCATTTAACATCCTTGGGTATCTTTAAACTATTTGTTTACATTACAGAAACAAATTACAAGTTCTTAAAATGTTCCAAACTTTTAGTTAAAAAGTCTTAATAAGGCTTGTGTGACTCAACTGTTCTATTTTGCAACAATTTTGGAGCTATCAGTACAATTGTCATTGATTCTCGGATCTCAATAATTAACCTCTATATTTCCACTAAACAAGACGAAAACATTAGAGTGGGAGAGGAAATGTCATGGTCAAATTTCCTGGGCTTAAAAGTCAAGCCTTGTTTTCAAGCATTAAAGGATTACTATTTGAAAATCTATATTTATATATGACACATACACCAATGAAAATATTAAGTACAATATGACATTAGCACGGAAGTTGTATTTAACATTTGACAGTTACCATTTTATAAGATAAACTGTAAGTAAACGGGGACAAAGTATGAACCAACGAGACCATGCACTGAGAAGCAGATGTATTTTATAAAAGATAAAATATTTTTGGACCTGCATCTGGAAGATGAGCAACACTCCCCAAATTCAAGTAACACCATGTAATGTCCAGACATAGCAAGGCATAGTTGTCCACTGACTGCAGAAGTTGTGATGTACACTTCCTACCATAAGGAAAACAGATCCAAGAAATTAAGAACATCCAAACCAAAGTTCTTTTGTTTTTCACTTAAAAAGCTTTTAACTTTAAACAAAAAAAATTCCCTCAAACAATATTTAAATTGTTGATAGTTTTACTTTATTATGAACCACAGGATTAAATGGTTTGTTGTGCATAATTTTTTGTTTATTTTCATAAAGATTTCTGAAAAGACAATCCATTTATTATCTTTTTAACATTATTTTACAAATTAAATCATAATATTTTCCTCTCCACAACCAGCCCAACCCAGAGAAAATAGACAAGACAAATAAGGTTTAGAAATGACTTGAATGGGTAACGAAGAAAACTATTGCAAGTTTAACACAGGAACAAATGTACAATATTTTGACAAGGTTTTGTCATCTTGTACCTGACGATGATGAAACCTTGTCCAATTGTTATTGTGTCAAATTTGTAGTCTCAAAACGGGTTATTCTTTATCAATGAATCTTCTAAAAACTAAATCTGTATGGTATGTTGAAGTTCATGATATTTTGGTCTATGTGCTAAAGCCTTCTCAACAGACTGCATGTGTCTAAAGTGTGGAGGTGGATGGTGTTTTGGTCTCTGTGTTGAGTTCTTTTCTACAGACTGCATTTGTCTGGAGTGTAGAGAAGGATGGTATTTTGGTCTCTGTGCTGATGCCTTTTCTATACACTACATCTGTCTGGAATGTAAAGGAGGATGGTGATTTGGATTCTGCACTAAGGCCTTTTCTACAGACTGCATCAGTCTGGAGTGTAGAGATGGATGATGTTTTAGTCTGTGTGCTGAGGCCTCGTCTATAGATTGCATCAGTCTTGAGTGTACAGAAGGATGGTGTTTTAGTCTCTGTGCTTAGGCCTTTTCTACAGACTGCTTCTTTCTGGGGTGGATGGTGTTTTGGTCTCTGTACTGAAGCCTTCTTTAGACTGCATCTGTCTGGAGTGTACAGGAGGATGGTGAATTCATCTCTGTACGGAGGCCTTTTCTATAGACAGCATCTGGCTGGAGCATACAGAAACATGGTACTTTGATCATTCTGCTGAGCCCTTTTCTATAAGCTGCATCTGTTGGAAGTGAAGGATACTAATGTGGTCTCTGTGCTGAGGACTTTCTACAGACTGCATCTGTCTGAAATGTACTGGAGGATGGTGATTTGGATTCTGCTCTAAGGCCTTTTCTACAGACTGCATCTATCTGGAGTGTATAGAAGAATGGTGGTTTGAACTCTGTACTGGGGCCTTCTTTAGACTGCATCTGTCTGGAGTGTACAGGAGGATGGTGATTTCATCTCTGTACAGAGGCCTATTCTATATATTGCATCTGTCTGGAGTGTACTGAAGGATGGTGCTTTGGTATCTGTGCTAAGGCCTTTACTACAGACTGCATCTGTCTGGACTGTATAGAAACATGGTTCTTTGATTATTGTGCTAAGGCCTTTTCTATAGGCTACATCTGTCTGGAGTGTAGAGAAACATGGTGCTCTGTCCTTTGTGCTGAGGCCTTTTCTACAGACTGTATCTGTCTGGAGTTTAGAGGTGGATGATGTTTTTTTCTGTGCTGAGGCCTCTTCTACAGACTATATCTGTCTGGAGTACACAGATGGATGGTGTTTTGGTCTTTGTGCTTAGGCCTTTTCTATAGACTGTATCTGCCTGGAGTCTAGAGGTGGGTGGTGTTTTGGTTTCTGTGCTGATGCCTCCTTTATGGATTGCAACTGTCTAGAGTGAAGAGGTGGATGATACCTTGCTCTGTGTGATGAAGAGTTCTCTACAGACTGCATCTCTGGAGTGTAGACACAGATGGTACTTTGGTTTCTCTAGTTTTCTCTCTAGACTACATGTAGACACAGTTCACAGAATATTCAAAGCCATTACAATCTACTTTACTTAAAATATTGTTTAAACCTGTTTCCTGTAAGTAGAAATCAGTTGGTTAATCATATAATTTGTAATTAGAAATTCCAATCTCTTATCATTTGCAGACTATGTACAAATTCATCATTTTACCTGAATTCTGTATCTGCCTCCAAGAAAAATATTAAAGCTTCCCCGTAGTTCTTTCTTTTCATAGTTGCTCTTCCTTTTTCATGTAAAGTCATAGCAAGGGCAAGAGCCTAAGTTAAGGCATACATGAAAATAGTTGTTTTAATAACTGGTAAGCAGTTAGAAATACAGAGATAAGAACTACATTTTAAGAGATGTTTTTTTTCAGGAATATGAAGTTCAAACCAGCAAATTAAGGAACTGGATTAGTTCTATGCATGATTTAATTTCAGGTCACCTATGGAAAGTATTGGCATCCAAGTGTAAATCACCTTTTGTGAAGGTTTATTACTGTAAGTCATGAAAATACCAAAAATATGTAAAGTTTAAAAAAATTATCAGAAAAGTAAAAAAAACAAACAAACATTAACTTACTTTCCTTTCTTGTTGGGGAAGTTGGAGCACTTTTCCATTCTGGTCAGCAACTTGAAGATACTGGTTGCTAGCTGGGTCATCTTGTGAAAATAAAAATACATACCCTTCATGGCAACTGCAATAGGGAACTTTATCATACTTTATAAATAAGAGTAAATAAACCTTTTGAGAATAAAGTTTGAAAAAAAAAACACCTTTATTTGTAAAACAATAAAACTTTTTTAAAACGTCAAGCTACTATTCACCATTGTGGCTAGTACAAAAACTGATTAATGATATATAAGTATACACTAACTTATAAAACTGATTTTGTTTTTACATTTCTCGAGTCTGTCTTAACATCTGTCTGAAAAACAAGGGTACATAAATTATTTAATCAAAATATAAATGTTTATACAGGTTCTGAAATAAATAAATTGAACAGTTTAAAATTGTCCAAGCAATAATAATACATATTGAAGTATAAGAACACACATGGTCTTCAAATTCAATTAAATGTTATCACTTTAAATTCATTTATTAAATAACAATAAAAATAATGTTAATGTTAAACAAAGTTGTATCAACCACAGAATTGTTAAGCCTTCTTCTTCTTATTATTAATTTTTATACAACTTGAATAATATTGATCTGATTTCCATTATCTCTGTGTGAAAAAGTGGTCAAGAAAAGATGATTTACAATTTCAAATGATTAACAAAAACATTTTACCAGTATCAAGTGATGAAAGAAGTTCTGCATCTTGACGAGTTCTCTGAAGCTTCAGCTCTTGATCTTCTTTTTCCATTATTTCTTGCTGTGTTACTGAGAGAACTAGTACCATAAGTAAATCATTGTGCTGGAAAACAGACAACATGATGTGTTACTGAGAGAACTAGTGACATAAGTAAATCATTGTGCTGGAAAACAGACAACATAATATGTTACTGAGAGAACTAGTGACATAAGTAAATCATTGTGCTGGAAAACAGACAACATGATGTGTTACTGAGAGAACTAGTGACATAATAAATCATTGTGCTGAAAACAGACAACATAATATGTTACTGAGAGAACTAACTTATGTCACTCAGTAACATTATGTTGTCTGTTTTCCAGCACAATGATTTTTATGGTACTGTTCTCCTGCACAATGATTTTAGGAAAACAGACAACATAATGTGTTACTGAGAGAAACTA